GCCTCTTGCAGTCCCCCACTGTCGCATTATTAATATGAAGCTTAGCTTCAGCTACTCTGGCATCGGTTTTCACTGTACGCCCACACGACATATGCACGGAATCGTTGTCCGACCTGGCTCCAGCTCAGCCTTCATGTCTGAATTTATGGCGAAAACGGATATGCGAGCCGCCTGCCAACGACGCCTTCAATGGCAGCAGGCAATGCATGCACTGATTATGAAATGCGCCTCATTAAAAAAAGGCAACGAAAAAAATAACATCCACAGCTGGAGAGCTGTGCAGCTGGTGTCGTCGATGCCACACTCTGACCTAATTCGCTGCGGCACCTAAAAAAGAAAAAAAAAAAAACTTTGTCGCATGTTATTCAGGCTGCGGTAAAAACATCATCAACACTCGCAATTTGTTCCAATCTCCAAGTGGGCGTCTGTCACACGCCTCACAAATATTTTGATATGCAGCTACTGCTGTCACTCTCTCTCTCTCTCTCTCTCTGTCTCTCTCACTGTTCAGTCTACTTGCTGTAGTAAACCCAAAAAACACACACAAATTGGCAGCACAACATTTTTGCCACAATATTTTTACAGCTGCGTCCGAGACTCCAAATATTTGGCTGGCCCACATAATTGGCAGCCCGTGCGCTATCAACTAATTTGGACCTAGAGCGCAAATCAGAACTGGGTTGAGCAAAGAATTGCATATGAATGAATTATATATGTATGAATACATGTTTATATATATATATATACGATATTTAGGAATTTCGATTGTTCAAGATTCAAGTACCGACATTTTGCAGTTCAATTCAACTGACCCAAATCTGTCTGCCAAATATCAGAGCGAAGCAGGCATAAGCAAAGGACATGCTACTCCATGCCAGGGCCAAGGGCCACTCACAAGCTGCCACTTGCCACATGGCACATGGCACATGGCACAGTGTGTCGCCCACTCCCATGGCTATTTAACACTTTCATATTTCGTCGTCAGCTAGTTTGCTGCCTTGGGCTAGACTTTAACTTTACTTTACGTTATCTAAACAGTGCGCTTATACATATGTCCGTACATTTATGTATATATGTATATAGTTACCTGCGCGCGTTTATAAATTTTGTCTGACGGCGTCTGGCAAAGCCGCTGCCATATTTGTGACTCCCCGGGCGGCCATTTTGGGAAATGACAACGGCACAGTTAGGGTTTGCTCTAGGGAAAGGGCAAAGCAGTCACAGCGGTAAAAGCAGAAAGATACCCTGTATCATTTTGATGGAGCTGAGCAAGAGCAACAGGCAAAAGGGGTTAAGTATAGGAATTTGTGGGCAGCAAAGCTTCATCAAATTTGTTGCAGAAAGAGATATATATGAACCCGGAATGACAGCTGCAGAGATAGCTCCTAGTCAGGGCTGGTAATAGCATGTTGCAGAAAACTCAGTAGGCACAGAAAACATCAATGGCAAAGGCGTAAGCTAGGGTATAGATTCTAGTTGAGCAAGTCCATGTAAAGAGCAGAAACAGAGCTAGGAGGAGAGCTTAGTTGTCTGCTGATATAAAAGCTCAAAGATAGCCTCAATCAGAAGCTATATATTATGATATACAAATAGCTAAAGTCGAAATGGTATTACTAGTCAATAATTGATTAGGCAATAGCATAGAATATAAAGCTGCATAACAGAAAAACAATTAGTTGACATATGCCCGAATATTCGTTTGCTAGCTGCAGGGTATCTGCTCGCTGATGCCACTCTATAGCTGCGCCTCTGCTAGTCGCTGCTTGGAACGCGGCAAACAATTTATCAAACAAAATATGCACTTGAAATACACGTAGCTAGCAGCACAACATGGCGACCAGCACATTGCACGCTGAGTGCAAATTTTTTGTTGTTGCTATTTTCAGTTCAACTCTTTTGCACCTCCCCCTTACGTACGGCCCATTCCCTGGTGATAAAGAATGGCAGTGAAATGAATTCGTAAGTGTCAGAAAACTTGGAATGTGGCCCAGTTGCGTCAACGAATTTAGTGTCAGCGATATTTAAAGGGATTTAACTAAGGCCATAGATAGATATATATTTGAGCTAAGCCAAATTGAAGCAGGTGCAAATGGGGTAGCTGAGGGTGCAGGCTATACATATATATAGACATACTATACTATATTCTGAAACATAAATATTCAATTGAAAGTTTGTGTGCAGCCGCAACAAGTTTAATTAACAATTTTTTGTATATTCCATAAAATTTGTTATTAACTGAAGTTTGTTGACACATTTTAGCTGACGAGAAGCGGTTTGAGGTATTTATTTTGCAAAAACATTTTGCCCTGTTTGGCAACAAAAGCGTCAACTTGCAGCTCAACGCCAATTAAAAGTTAAATTATTCTAAGTATTTTGATTTTGTCAAATGGCTGGTTGACATGCGAAGTGCACGTGCGCGCGCCCCTAGCGTCAGGTAGCGGAAACAGCAACAAGCAGTTATGTGAACATTTTTCATGTTGCATGCTGCGTTTGCTTAATGCAATAAGCGAGAGTGCAGTGCACAGCTAGTAGATACCCTGAATTGGATTGAGAGATAATCAAAAACTGTGTTGCTTTCTGTTTAATTTGAAGGTGAAATTTTACCTAAAGATATGGAATTCAAAAAGAAGCAAAAAATAATATTGTAAAAGTAAAGTAAAGCCAGGTATATTAAGTAGGGTAAACTGCTGATTTTAATAAAGAATAAATATATATATTATAGGCTATACATTTTCATATTCAACACTTAATCCCTTCAAGTTTCTGTGCCCTACGCTTCAAGTTACACCTCAGCTCGAGATACATTTGTATCTTCAAGATACACACATCCAAGTTGAACACAGTGCCAGCATTTTATTGATTTCCGCATCGCTAATGCAAGCCAATAAATCTACCGAATGAGCCGATTTGCAGGAGTACCAACAATTTGGGCCTAATTTTGGGGCCGATGATAGCAATGAACTGTTGCCATTGTTTGTTATTAGTCTTTATGGTCCCATGTAATTTGTCTCCATTTTTATCATTAAAATAACAATTAAAGCGATGGCTGTTGTGTCTTGTAAATGTGTGCAGCGTTTGCGGTCTATATATCATTACGAGAGTGTGTGTGTGTGTGAGTGTGAATGTGTGCGTATATCGTTTGTTTTGCTAGTTTTATTGCTTGTAAACATTTATACCTATTGTTATCCATTTACACAGACAGCTACAAAGCGCTTGTGCAATTGGAGCGCATGTTAAAGTTTTGTCAGCCGACAAATTGTATCATAGCCGCCATAGTCAATCAATACGTTACTTAATTCATGTGTTTATGGCGCCCTGAATTATGCTAATTACATTAGCAGCACGTAGCAACCGAGTGAGAGGGACAGAGAGAGTGAGAGCGCGAGGGAGCAAGACATAGCGTAGGCAGAGAATGGGATGCCACCAACTGTAGCCTAATGACACCCAAGAGGCGCATTTAATTACTCGGCAACTATGGCGAGAGGCCTCGGCCTGCTTCATAAGTTCGCATGTTCAAAATGCATAAAATTGTCTATGGAGCATAACATAAATATACATATGTGAACAAGCATATCGTATTTGTTGTAGTTGCTACTCTCTCTCTCTCTCTCTCTCCCTCTCTCTCTCTCACTCTCTCTCTCACTCTCTCTGTGTGTGTGCGAATGTGGACATGCTTTCAGCAACATGAAAATGCTTTATAGCCATTAAAAACGACAAAACATAAATTGTAATCTCTACCATATGAACACTCAGGGAAAACAATAAAAGAGACACAAATACGTATACAAAAATAGTTCAAAATAATCAACACAATAATGTTTTCAAATTTATATTTTTACATTTTCATTTTTTTTTTTTTTTGCTTTTTTTGTGCTTTGCCTCTCTTTGTATAAAGAGACAAAAACTAGTTTGAAATTGCAAATGACATGATGCCAAAACAAATTGTATTCCATGAATCGATTTCGCCAATGCAAACGACATTCACTACAAATCCCAGGCAAACTGAAAACTTTTTTGTCGAAATTGAGCGGAAAACACTTTATGGAATGCGGATTTTCTATCATTTTGTGTGCAGCACAAAATGTCAATTTGTAGGTAAAGGCAATTGGAATTAAATGTCAAACGAACACACACACACACAGTTTTTGGCAGTGGTGTGGGAAGTGGAGAGCTCAATATGTATTTGGTACACTCGCTAGACGACAGTTAAATGCCGTAAATATCCCATGTATTTACATATGCAAAAGTATTTGTGTAATGCCAACGATAAGCTCATGTATTGATCCACTCGCACTCTGGGTGGCTGAGTGGTTGAGTGGTTTTGGCGGCGTAGTCGTACTTGCGAAGCGCCCACTCTAGAGATTTGGGTAAACTTTGAGTTAGTCGCGCGTCGCCATTTTGGTACATTTTCATAGACCATTGGACAGAGTCTAAACAAATGAAGCGACAGTGCGCAATGTGTGAAGGAAACTAACGATGTCTGGTTGTATCTGTGTGTGTGTGTGTGTGAATTGTATAAACAGCAATGCGCTTCAATGCCAATAATGTGGACAGCAGCCAGGTGTATCCAGGAGTAAACGAGCTACTTGACAGCTGCAAACACGGCAGCAATTGTATGTGAAATACTTTGCATAATTTGACTAACAATTAAGCTCAAGTGGACACACACAAAGTAAAGGCACGTACGTACAAAGCATACATAGACACTGCAAACACAAACACACACACACACACACATGCGAATAGCTGAGTTAATGAAGCACTGCAACTTTATTAATTTCGTTTGCCCACTTTCGAGCGCTGGCGCCAAAGCAAACTAAAAGTATTTCCTTTTGGCAATTTGATAGCTCATTAGAGCATCGAGCAAATATTACTGCAAAAGGTAAAATTTAATGGAAAATATTTATAGAAATTTATTAGAATTTTATATGCTTGACTTTGCACTGTTTGAATTCTATAATATTTTATTTAACATATAAATAAATTTATTTCTTTTGCAGGCTTGCACGAGAGGGTGAAAGAGTGAGCAGTCTATAAAAGAACAGGTAAATAGTTGTTGATTTAAGCTCATGTTTAGCTATAACAAAAATGAAGGAAATTATATTAAATATACTCATTAAAATATGGTGGAGCTGTAGGGTATATGCTATTAACATATTGAATACCTGTATATAAACGATATAATTTGTTAACTAATATAATTTAATAAGAACTTTTAATTTACTTATATGTTACATAAATTATAATATATTTATTACGTAAAACCTTTTTTCGCCATGTATTTTTTCATCGCTTCCTGTTTACACATCTTCATATACTCTCTCGCTCATAAATTCTTATAAATAAACTACAGGCGATCTAATGGCCGACAACTGGCCAATCGATTTATTTATGCTCATAAAAATGAATTTCTTTGATTTTGTGGCCGTCCACTACTTTGAGAAAGTCCTTTGCAGTGCCCGCAGAGTTCATGTGTGTGTGTGTGTGTGTGTGCTTGTGTGTATGTGTGTAGAGACCCCTGCTGTGTTTGCAATTCGACAAGAGCAGTTTCAAATATGCATTTCATATTCAATAAATCACACTCGAAATGAAGCCTTTTTGTTTTTACATATTTGTTTAGTGAAATATTTGCTAGGCTGTACCAGATGAAAAGCTACTTGCTGCTGTGTTTGCCTTTTGCCGCCTGCAGTTGCAATTGATTTTACAAATTGCAAATATATTTGCCAAACAAAGCAAATAGAGCACTAAATTGCTGTCTACCATTGCAAGCATGCCATCAGAAAGATTTTTCATAAATATTTTTGATGTATACACGTATGTGTGAGTGTGTGTGCGTGCAAAGCCCATATTCAAATTAATTGATATTTCAAATTCCAAATTTCGTTGCATTTCAAGTCGTCTCCGAAAAAGCTTTACACAAATTGCCAGCTTTGTGAGTTATCTCGTAGCTTATTAAGAATGCCTTTTCCACAACATTTTTCGTAGTCTTTTCCTTGTTTTTTGTTAATTAGCTAGTTTACAAGCTGTCCAATATTCGTGTGGGAGTGGCACTAGATTTTGTATACCAATAACAAAAGTTAAAAAAAAAAAAAACACAAAATTCATATTGCTTTTGCTTTGTAATGCAAATCATACGCAAATGTTGGCCAAAGAAAATATGAAATAAAGTCATCCGCCGTCTAAGAGACTCGAACATCCACTCAGACTTGCTTTGAGAGCTGATACGCATGCAAGGCAAGGGGTTATGCAAAGTCAAGCAACCTGAAAAAGACACATTTGTGATGCAAATTTGTAAGAGACGCTCGAAAGGGTGTGTATGTGTGTGCGTGTGGGAGAGAGAGAGGCACAATCTGGCAGGCACCCATTGGTTGCTTTTCTATGGCAACGTGTAAATCAGGCTAAGTACGTGGCCTTTTTGGTCTTTTAGCTGCCACGCTGCAGTGCTTTATAGTTGCGTCCTTGTGACCCAACCCGAAGCCAAAGCCAAAACCAAAACAAAAAATATGCAACAATTTTTACCTTCGCACCGGAGTGTTTGCCCAACTTTGCAAACGGGTTTTTAATATGTGCCTTGGCAAGCAGCAGCAGCAGGAGGAGGAACAGCAGGAGGAGCAGCAGCGAGAGCGGCAGCAGCAGGTGAATCGCAGTCAAAGCTTGTTTGCATGGCGCAAACATTTTGGCCGACATATGCTCGGCGAATCGCTTTGCTAGCCATGGAATAATTACATATGCATGACATGACAGACAGTCAAAGCCAAAGTGTGGGCGTTGCCAATATCCAGTGAATAACTCAATATACATGTATATAAATATACCTCTCTATATATATATTATATATCTGCATATGCATAGTGGGATCACTATTGATATATATTGTGTATTCGCTCTGGCTGCTCGCTTCCCTGAAGCGCTGACTGTCTGCTCGCATCGCATCGCATCGCGTGAAACGCGGAAGGGCGGAAGGGTGGAAGGGCGCGGATGGCAGCCAATTGTTGTTTTAAATTAATTAATTTCGTTTTCATTAGCAGCAACAGCTAAAGACAACAACAATAGCAAAACAACAGCAGCAGCGCAAATAATAATAATAATAAAAGTAAAAAGCTTTTGTTTTTAATTTTATATTTTCATTTGCCATTATTTTTACGCTATTTGGCAATTTGGCGGCGTTGTTCCATTTAAAGCGATTTTCGCGCCGCTAATTATTATTTAAATTTTTGATATGCAACGGACCGACAAATGGGATTATTTTAATAAATAAATGCATGCAGGAAAATCAAGAAGTTAGCAATGGCCGCATAAAAAGCATTGCGCCCAATTAACGGCTTACAATGGCGCCCAATATTGATGGAACATAGCTAACGGTGTCGGTCAAATAGTGCAGGCAGTTGGAAACGGAGTGATTGATAAGGGCACTCATTGATATTTATATTTAAATATGTATATCATAAAAAAGATATTTAATTGCTTTAATATACTTTTAAGTTGAGTAATAGAGAATATCTTTAAGCCTTTAACTTCCTTCTCGATCCTTTAAATTTTATTTATATTTATAAAGAAATGCGTTTCGAGAAGTGCAATATATTAATTTACATTTCAGCTCTTCAAGGTAATACTCAAGTACTCTTTAGATGTATATTTTGTAGACCTATATTTTGTTCTCACTCAGTTTTATTTGACGTCGGTTTTTAGTGTATATTCGCTTCGGCTTTACGCAATAATCATGCAAAAAATGTCGGATTTTGTTGTTGTTGTTGTTGTGCTGTGCCCAGTCAATTGCAATTATTTTTTATCTCTTTTCCAATTGGCGTTGTCAGCCTGGGCATTGTTTATAAACTCATTTCGCATTGTAATCCGCCCAATTGGCAAAAGACCCGTTGCCCCGGCAGCTCGTGCCCCTTAACTTGACTGCTTGCTAGCATTACAATGTAATTACAGTAAATGCAACTTTGTCTGCGTGGCACACTGCATGGAAAATGGCAACCAAAAATGCGCAAAGTTGCACAAAGAGAGAGAGAGAGTGTGACAGAGAGAGATAGATTGAGCGAGGGGATTGTAAAGGGTTGCTGCTGCGTAGGCGAAAATGTGCGCGGAGCGTTGATTTTTAAAGCGTTGGCCCAAACAACAAAGTGAAATTTTAATGCAAACTAATGCAAAATCTTTCGATACAAAACACAAAAAGCAACAGCAGCAGCAGCAGCAGCAGCAGCAACAGACAGAGGCAGGCAGGCGGCAGGCCGACAAGCGGGGGCATCAACAAAATAAATTGAAAAGCAAAATGCAAAGTGCGCGCTCGCACGCCTTCTGGCCTGCCACGCCCCTGCGACGCTCGCCTCCACTGGCATCCTGTTCGCTGGCAACGCACCCGCGCACGTCCTTGGCGCAGCAAGACAAATGAGTCTGCATCAATCTTAATTAATTATTTAAACGCAGCGGGCATGGAAATGGCTGCCACGGCATTAAAGTAGTGTCTACGGCCAACTCTTGGCTCTCGGCTCTCGGCTCTGACTCTGACTCTGACTCTGACTCAGACTATGACTTGGTAGCCGCAGCCTTTGCTGCTGCCTTTTCCATTTGGTGTTTGTGCTCTTGTGTGTTTGTGTAAGTGTGTTGTGCGTAATTAAAACGAAAGCCTTTTGATATTTAAATTATTTTTCATAAATTGCATTGCAACAGCTAAGACAACAAGCAACAGCAGAGCAACAAGCGACAGCGACACCGACAGCGCAAGCAACAAGAAACTCTTTAACAAGATCGAATGTCATGTACACTAACTGAAGCAGGAGCTAATTCTGATTCTGCATGAATGATAAACGAGTTTGGAATTTATTTTAAAATATATGTATTTAGGAATAAAAACTGGCATTTTCTTTGCTTTGTCTTATTTCTTTTTATTCCATTCATTATTTAAGCTTTAGAAAATAGTGTTGATATTTTAGTTCGGGTGTGAAATCGATACCATTTATTTACAATTTTTCATAACATAGATACTTTTGAGCATTTGATTTTTAAGCATTCACTTTGCTATTCCAACTTTCTCTTTGTTAAATAAAAGACTTTGTTCTTTTTTTGATTCGATAAACTGTTCTTTAGGCTGCTTTTGATTTAAGATTGAAGCTGCGACCTTTGCCTTATGATTATGTATCTCATAGATACATTTGTATCTTCAGCTCAGTTGAGACGCATCTCCATAGTCTATGTCTTTTCTTATCTTCTTTAAATTTGTTATTTCTCAACAGCTTATTTCAACTGGAAGCAAAGTAACATTTGCACTTTCACCCTCTTCCCACACGCCTCCTCAATCTTTAAGGAAAAAAAACTCTATCTACGATTTAGAAAAACTATACCCGAAACACTAGTTTGCTTGGCACATTTCACTTTACTTTAACTACATGTGTAAGAGTGGCATGTTTAAGGCACCCTTTAAGCACGTATGCTCTCTCTAAATGAAGGGTACATTAAGCCATGTCAAGTTGAGTGCTGACACTCGCTGTGTTTGTTCGCCTCATTTTAATTCAGCTGTTGGGTCTCAGCACAAACATTAGTTTAATTTGCTGTGGCTTGCGTTTAAATTAACTCTCACTTGCAGTCAAACTGAGGTCAGAGCCGCAACACTTGTGTGTGTGTGTGTGTGTGTGTGAGTGTATGTGTGTATATATATGAGTAACCAAGTGTCAATCACGACCTCATACGCCGACAAGCCCAAGCCCAAGCTAAACTGTCACAAAAATGCATGACATAAAAGAGAAGTAGACCCACACTGCTCGATGTTTCTTTGCTGCCTGATGCTTGGTAATTATGATTAATCTCATTTAAATTAAATGGCTTAATTGTGTGGCGCGCGTCTTGTCATTAAGTGATTTTTATCAGCACCACAAAATATGATTGGCTGGTGTGAGGGTCGCGTCGTCTTTGTCTAGTTAATTTCGTGATTACCTGCTCCTTTCATTTCTCGTCTAGTCCGATCTCATTTACAGTTTATCAGTTTTTGGCCGTCAAGTTGCAACAGTTGCTATTTTTTCGACTTAAACTCAGACAAAATGACATT